AGATTTACTTATTTGCATTGTATGTTTCTGAATATATTGAGTAAAATATACATGTAGTTCTTGGGTATGCCAGCAGAGGGCATCATATCCTCCAGAAGTAGAGTTACAGGTGGTTCTGAATAGTCTAATGTAGGTGTTGAGAAACAAACCCGGGCCCTCAGCTAGAATAGCAAGTGCTCTTAACCACTGAGCCGTTTCTGGAGCCCTACACCCAAGTTTTGCAAAGTATGTCCTTCTTTTCCTGTTATTGTAATAAAATATCCTGGGAAAAGCAACTTAAAGGAGAAAGGATTTATTTGACTCAGAATTCTAGTCTACAGTCCTTCTGGTCAGGGCAGTCACTGCAACAAGAAAATTGGTCACACTGTATCACAGTCGAGAACACAGAGAAAAGCTGGGCATGGCAGTGCACACCTTTGATCCCAACACTTGTGAGTTCAAGGCCAGCCTGATCTACATAGACAGCTCCAAGACAACACAGAGAGACACTGTCTAAAGAAGCAAGCAAAACAAAGCTAACACCCCAAAACACCATAACAACATGGAGAGGGTGGATACATCCTAGTGCTCAATTCACTTTCTCCGTTCTACACGTCCTTGGATCTGCTGTCTCGGGAGTGTTGCTCCCCAACGTGGGTGTGTCCTCCTACCTCAGTTAACACAGTCAAGAGAAATTCCCCACGTCCCCAAAGCATGTCACCTCCAATCAGAGAAAAAAGAATGCTTCTATCAGACTGAAAACATCTGATAAGTGATTTGTGCCTCCGTCAAGAGATCTGGCTTCTGAGGGATGGGGAAAAAAAAAAAAGAGAGAGATCTGGCTTCTGTATGTGGTACAGCATGTGTGTGTAGCTTGGATTGGGTGTTTCTGTATGTGGTACAGCATGTGTGTGTAGCCTGGATTGGGTGTTTCTGTATGTGGTACAGCATGTGTGTGTAGCCTGGATTGGGTGTTTGTGTATGTGGTACAGCATGTGTGTGTAGCCTGGATTGGGTGTTTCTGTATGTGGTACAGCATGTGTGTGTAGCTTGGATTGGGTGTTTGTGTATGTGGTACAGCATGTGTGTGTAGCTTGGATTGGGTGTTTCTGTATGTGGTACAGCATGTGTGTGTAGCTTGGATTGGGTGTTTCTGTATGTGGTACAGCATGTGTGTGTAGCCTGGATTGGGTGTTTCTGTATGTGGTACAGCATGTGTGTGTAGCCTGGATTGGGTGTTTGTCTTAGTCACTTTTCTAGTGCTGTGATAAAACAGCATGACCAAGGCAGCTTATAGAAAGAAGGGTTCATTTGGGCTTATGGTTCCAGAGACTTAAATCAGTAAAGTAAGCATCTGTCACCATCAAGGCGGGAAGCATGGCTTCAGGCACAAGGCATGGTGGTTGGCACAGGAGTGCTCACATCTTGAACCACAGCCATAGTCAGAGAGAATGAATTGGAAACGACTCCAGTCTTTTAAGTTCTCAGAGCTAGGTTTTCTGGGTCTTAAGTGTACTTCCTAACCCTTGCAGAGAGTTGAGAGGAACAAAGCTAAAAGTAGCTGGGACTACAGGCCATGTGCCCCAAACCCCAGAGTACAGGCCATGTGCTCCCCCTTCCCAGGAGTACAGGCCATGTGCCCCCAACCCTGGAGTACAGGCCATATGCCCCCCCCAGAAGTTCTTTGCTCCTGCAATACTCCCTAGAAACGAAGACATTGAGAGCCGTTGATGGAAGATGCTGTCTTCACTGCAGAATACTTCCAGGTTTCTCCCCACTCCGAGTAGGAGGCCCGGGGCTGTGTAGAGGAGTCTGTTCACTGGTCTGGGACTTGCTGAGCTAAGTTGTAGATTGAAGGGGCAGTGAAGTTATGCACCCTGCCTTACCTGCCAGGTGGGGAAGCTGGTGCCAGATGTAGGACTGGTGTGAGAACTAAATGTTTTGGCTGTGAGTAAAGAGTTGGAGTATGTTTGCACAGATGGTCAAGTCAAACCTTTTAACATACAGCTGACATACTCATGTATACATTAAATCTTGGTTATTCATATAATAGTATAGTTGCTTCATTTATTTTCTGGGTAGTATCTATGTTTTCTCTGCTGCATTTGAGACTTTCTCTGTCCTACTGGCTTTGAACAATGTTATGCCTTTGATTTGCTGTTCTATTTTTTTTCCTGAGAGAGAAAGAGAGAGAGACAGAGAAATACTTCATTGAGTTGGATTTGTTCGTTTATATTTTTAAGTTTATGGATGCATTTTTCTGTTTAGTTATCACACATAGTTCACTGATACTGTTTCTATTTTTAAGTCCCCCCACCTCTCCTGTCTGGACAATTTCATGTTGGATAGTTTCTATTACAGATTCTCAACAACACTAACCTTCCTCTTCCTCCTCTTCTCTCTCTCTCTCTCTCTCTCTCTCTCTCTCTCTCTCTCTCTCTCGTCTGTTATTAATTATATCTAGTGTATTTTTCATTACAGACATTAGTGATGGCATAAACAAGCTCCATGCCTGTAGTTTGGGTTTTCTGTTATGGCTTCCCCATCTCCTTTTAACAGTTAGCCTTTCATCCGGGGTCTTGAAAGTAAGAAATTACTTCATAACAATAAATGTTAATGAATGCTTTTATCCACGAGTCTTCCATCTCTTCTGAGTCAGTGTCTGTCATTGGTTTTTCTTCTCCTTTTAAGTCATGTTTCCTGCTGCTTTTCCACTGGTTACCAACAGAATTTTATCTCGATGAGGGATGCATATTTTTATATTTCTTAAAACTATCAACTCAGATACCATTTTCCCTGCCTCTATCCTCGGGGAGACCTTCCCTGCACACTAACACCCTTGTCAGACTCCGTGTCTGATCTGCTGTACTGTGGACACTGAGTGTGTGTGGCTGAACATCATGTCGCTGTGCACATCCTTCATTTATTGCTCAGCATCTCAGCTCCTTGAAGGGCCAGGCCCTTGCCCAGAACAGCCCCCAGGCACGTTGTAAGCCCTCTGTGAATATGTTACATGAATTAGCAGCTGAATGCCAGGCACTGTGCCGGTGCCATCCAGACACTGTTCCGTGAGTCCTGGGATGTCACTTTTCCAGGACAGCAAAGTGAGCCAAGGGTTTCCTTTGTAGCAAAGACAGTAAAGAAAATGTACTGAACTAACTCCATTCTAGCTAAACAGCTTCCTTTCTAAGATGTTTGCCCAGAACCCAGAAGGAAAAAAAGAATGTTAGCAGCACTGGGCAAGGTTAACACTCGCTATAAAGTTACCTTGTATTGTTGTCTCCTCCGCTCCTCTGCCTCCATGTGAAAGTAGTGTTTGTAGAGAGTAACTGTGGACTTGGAGATAGAACCGTCTTGAGAAGAGATGGGGTGAGGTTCCCTGAGGCAGTTAGAGCAGAATGGGTCTTAAGAGGGGCAGTATGAAGGTGACCCAGTAGGCTGAGCCTTACTGTGGATTCTTCCGCCAATTAAAGGGGCTGCTGTGATGCAGTCCCAAGTAGCCAGACCTGGAATAGCCTTATCAGCTCAGCAGATGGAAGCTACTTTGATTGCTGCCACATTGTTTTGATCAAATCAGGGACTTGACACTAGGAAGCGTCCCCCGCCACCCAGGTTGAAGCTGCCTGCCTCTCTGTCTGTTTCTCAAAATGTCTTCCCAGTTCTCTTTCTGACAGGATCTTGCAAGAAGGATTATTTTCTTTCATAAATTAGTAAATAATATTTTTCTAAAAAGCAGTGGGTATATATCTGAGAGTTTGAAGCATATGCATATTTTACAAGAAAATGCTTTTCTTAAATGGTTAAAGAAAAGTATTGAGGAAGAATTTTTGAAGAAATGAAATGTTAGTATGAAATACTGGCTAAATGATAAATTTTTTCCAGTAAATTAAAAAAAAAAGGTTTCTTTAACTGAGTGTTACAGTGGGAAAATATCTGATTCAAAGACACAAAACTACAGGTAGTGTATGATAGTAAGTCGGACTTAAATTATTATGTTACATGCAAAGCAGAAATACGGGGCCATCGGGCTCCATTTTCATATCGAAAGTACAGAACCTTTTCTGTTCTATGTTAAGTGCACGTGCATACTATATTTTCGATGAAAGGGTTTTTTTGTTTGTTTTTATTCTTCGGCGTCCTTTGTTCTTTCCAAAGGGTTGATTAAAACTGGAACTCGGGCTTGCCAATATTCTCTCATCTTGGTATTTGTAAACTCTCACTTAATAAAAGAAGGGTGACAGAGACTCCAGAATAGCACCAGCTCTTTATTTCCTGCCAAGCGCTCCTCCCTCCCCGAGCAGATACTTGTATTTTCATGAGCATCTCGCGATACTCCTCCACCCTGTTCCCAGTCTTGACCCACTGACCCAAGAATCAAGAAAATGTCATGTTAGTGCCTACTAATTAGTGTGCCCAGAGCACCTCTGCCTCTGGCCTTTCAACCTTCTGGAAGTGAGAGCACAGGCTGTCACTCACATCACGCAGGGAAAATAAGCCCTCCCTGCATTTGCCCTGTTTGCAAACAGCGGGGTAAGCCCAGCTGAGCCTAGAGACGAATATGCAGGTTAGGGAGAAATTAACCTAAAATGCACTGCTGTTTGCATGACTGTCTCAGATGACACACCACCTTCCTTGAAGTACCCAGTGAGGGTGCCGTGTGACTGGGTCCCCGGGGGTCCGGCTCTGGCAGCACACTCTCAGATCTGTACCGTCACAGTCGCTTGATGAAGTCATTGCAAGGGAAGGGTATCCTCTGCATAAAAAACGGATTAGCATTTCAGTGCATGGAAGTTTCCCGTGTGTAGACACATTCTTGGAGGATGCTGCAGTGAGTGAGTGAGCATTTGGTTCAAGGGCTCATTAATCAGTGCTGTTGGGTCAGAGTCTCCAGAGCCTTCTGGGTTTGGGGAGAATCGGCTTCTGTAATTAAAGGGATGAAATATATCACGGTCACAAACTTACCACATTGACAATTGAGGGTTTTGAACTAGCAGAATTAATCTCTTTAATTTTTTCCTTAGGTGTTTAAAATAGAAGTGCTAATGAATGGAAGAAAACATTTTGTTGAGAAAAGGTACAGTGAATTCCATGCCTTGCACAAAAAGGTAATCTTTGGTTTCATGTTTTCCTCCTTTTCTCAGTATGGCCTGTGGTATAATGTAGCTATAATATAGATTCTAGTCTATGTTCCTCAGAACATTACTGTCTGCTGTGTTTGTGGTGTCTTTATAATGCCATTAATTTCCTCTTAAAAGATTGTTCAGTTGGTGCGTTTGGTTTTTATTTTTAAATAAGTAGGTTTCCTGTTACAATTGTTTGCATATGCAAATCCGAGACAGTAAGCTCAAACATTAAAGAAATGCATTTAAGTTCTTCACAAAAAGAAAAGAAGCACGACAAATCACTATACAGGAAGAAATTCATTAAATTCAACTTAAATGTTGTGTACCTAGACAAGCTTGTGTACTTACACGTGTGTTCATACAGAGTGCATGGAAGAGAGGCTCCCTGCCTGCAGCTGTCCTCTGAGTTGGGAAGAGAGTAATTGATGTTTTAACTATGGGGTCCATTTCAAAGTCGCAGATTAAAGAAACAGAAATGCAAAAGAAGTAACTGACTTTCAGGAAGAAATGGTCATTAATGAATTGAAGATAAATACTTAAAAAAACCCTCCAACCTTGGGTTAATTTTTTGTGGGTTATAAATTATTTGGGTGCTAAATTTTCTATAACTTGAAATACCTAATGAGAAGAAAATCACAGTGATGAGTCAGTTTAACTTTATAATTTTTCTTTCACCTATCTGTGTCTAGGTGAAATTTATTTATAAATGTGTATGTATGAAACACATGCATGCACAGAATACATGCCATAATTAGATACTTTGGCAAGAAGCTAGAAATGGGTTACATTAGGAAAATCTTTTAATTTTATGCCTTTTAATGTCTACGCAATTTTTCTGGGATACATCACTGCATAAAAACGTCATAATGTGTTGACTCTGGATTAAAAGGCTTTTAGAACTTTGTAAAAAGTTTTTCCACTTTAATCAGAGAATAGAGAATTAAGTCTAAACGGAAAGATTAGTGAACCTAATTCCCTGTTGTCTGTTTTGAGCTTTTTGTTAGTCTGTTTAGTTTTGGTCAGGCTGTGTCTGGCTGTGTAACTCTGGCTGGCTTAGAAATGATGGGTTCGCCTGTGCTCCTCCTCCTCCTGAGTGCTGGCCTTGGCTTGCACCACAAGGCCCTCTGCCCCTCCTCCTGAGTGTTGTGATGGCCATACACCACCAGGCCCACTCCCTAGCTTCTTTTCAGAAATGTTCAAAGCTTTTGTGTTAGGGTGGCAAACCGTTTAATTAAATGAATTTAATTCTCCAATTAGAATTTCATCAAGTTCACGTTTCCTCCCAGGGAAACCATGGAAGTGCCTACAGATTTCCATCTGGTGTTGCCAGGAGACTTGCTTTAAAAAGCACCAGCCCTGGGGACCTCAGAGAGAAACAAACATAAAACCTGGGTCCTTCTTCCTCATGGGATTCTGTTTTGTTTAGGTTCAGGAGCAAACAAATTTCACCGGGCACCTGGTGAGTCCCTGTAGAAGGTTGAGAAGAAGTCTCTCTCCACCACATTCAGCTTCTTCCTGCCAGTCTGGCCCGGGCTGCTTGTCAGGTGCATGCCCTTCCTAACTTACTGGTCAGCGTGGAGTGCTTAACTCTATGACCAGCACAGCCCAGCTGTGCTCTCCAGATACCAGGTGACAGACCCCATAGCAGACACAGCCGGGTGACTGCCAATTAGGCTGGCCCTGTCCAAGGGGCAGCCCACAGCCTCTGCCCTTATGCAGGCTGACTCAGTCATATCTTGCTCTAGGACATTTCCCCAGCCCCCTCTGCTCAGCAACCAAGCATTGTCAACAACAACAACAACAAATCCTGTACTTTCTGGGACTTTCCGTTTCCACAGTTCCATTATTGATTAATGTTATCCAGTCTTTTTTTTTTTGTTTTTGTTTTGTTTTTTTGTTTTTGTAACAAAGTGTGCTAAAGTAAATAGAGTAGTAATTCTCAAATCTCTGACAGAATTTGAGACATCCTTATAGGGACATGGAGCTCACAGCTGTGGGGGAGGGGCAGACCGTTGGTGGAGTGTGCACCATAGAGAGGGAACAGCCCCTGCTGTGCTAGAATGGGTGGGAAGGCAAGTCCAAAAAACAAATGAACAAAAGTTCAGGGCAGTCTCTAATCCTAACTGTAAAACTGCCCAGAAGCACCAGGTGAAAGTGTTTCAGCTGTGCGCATGGGGGCTGCTCCTAAGCAGCGTGGTGGTTTCAGAGCTCTTCTTGGTGTCCTGCAGACACACAAATGCCGCCTTGCTGATTGTTCTTGCTAATTTTGAAGGCGGCACTATTGGAGCTTGTCTGGTTATTGTTAGAAATGTATTTTAAAACGTTTCACAGAATCTTTCTGTCTTTGTAAAACATTTTTTTTAAAAAGTCACACGTTTTTCTTTGCTTCTCTTGTTTTGGTGGTGATGAGGGGTTGCTGGAGCCCAACCCCAGGGCCTTTGCATGCTGGAGCCTGCTCTACCACCAAGATAGATCCCTAGCTACAGTTTCCCCCTGATATCATTGTTTTCTTTGCAGAGTCACCATATAGCCCAGGCTGGCTTTGAACTGTGATGCCCCTGCCTTAGCCTCCTAAGCTCTAGAATGCAGGCATGGGCTACCCCTCTGTGCACAAAGCTAGGGCTTCTAGCAGGTGTGGGTGAGGACAAGGGGAGTGTCCCACTGTCACCTGCCCATCCCAGCTCAGCTGCTAGTTCGCTAACATGGTCACTTTTCTTTCCTGGATTTTTAAAATCAAACCCCGCCCAGCAAGTTATTTTACCAAAAGCAGCACTTCTCTGTCTAAGGATATGGGGTTATTTTTTGTTGGTTTGGTTTTTTTGTTTGTTTGTTTGTTTTGTTTTGTTTTTAAATAGCACTGTTTAAAGCTCACAGTATCTCATTTGCTTTGGCCATTATCACTCTGAAAGTTGTTTGCTTAGGAAGCACACCCCTTTGCTTGGGTGAAGTGATGCCTTCTGATTTGATTCAGGTGCACATCTGTGTTCTATGTCTTTCGTTACTCTATTTCTGTGCTTTCTCATTTACTAGGGTCACAGACTTGGCTGACTGGCTTATTGGCCTGTTTATAAAATACTAGCCATTTGCTGAAAGTGTTTTGTACCAAAACCCTTTAATTTTGGTTATGGTAATTATTTATGTGTTGTTTTGCATGTGTGTCTGAGTGTGCATCACCTGCATGGGGGCCTGTGTGGGCATCAGTTTCCTGGAGCTGAAGTTATAGGTAGATGTGAGCCGCTTGGCATGTGTGCTGGGAGGATGTGGGTCCTCTGGAAGAGTGATGTAAACTCTTAATGGCTGAGCCATCTCTCCAGCCCCCTGAAATGTTTCAGTTTAGGTGCCCATATGATAAAAAAACAAGTTTTCATTTTTTCTAAGATAGTCAGCATTTGTTCTTTCTGGCTCTCTCTGTCCCTGTCTCTGCCGGTCTCTTGCTGAGGGTAAAGCCCGAGGCTTTGTGTGTTTGAAGTAGACACACTACCGCTGAGCTGCAGTCTTACCGGCTCCTTTTTGAGACGGCCTCACTGTGTAGCTCATTTCTGGTCCCAGACTCATGATCCTCCTGCCTCATGCTTTAATGATGGGATCCGAGCTGGGATCACATACCCACCATCACATCTGGATACCCTTTGTGATTTATCATTTCTTCTAGAGCTGTGGGAAGTGTTTGATTCTGTTTTCTTTTATTTTGAAAGATCAAAGTGAAGATATCTCATACCACTGGACACACTGAATCAGACTGTAATGGAGCCTACTAATCTACATCTTACGCCAGTTCCCCAGAGGACTTTATGCTCATTGAAGTTAGAAGTTCCTACTGTGAATTATATGTTTAAAGACATCACTCAGATACAGCCCTCCACCACACACACACACACACACACACACACACACACACACACACACACACCATATATACACACCATACCTACCACATATACCAGATACCACATACACAGATCACACACTCACCACACACACCACACACTATACACCACATACACACACCATAACACATGAACCACACACACCATAACACATGCACCACACATATACCACACACACACACACACACACACACACACACACACACACGAGGTGTAGGACTAAGCAGCTCAAGGTTCTGAATGTTGACGGTCCTTCTGACCTTTCTCTTACCAGAATTTTTCAGAATGTCACTAGGTCCCCATCAATTCATTCTTCCACATTCCTGCAATGTGTACCCCTTGGTTTTTCACTGTCACTCCAGAGTGGCGCTGTTTTATGTGTGTCAACAGTCTGTTCTTCCTCCTCTTACCTTTTCTCGACTATATGTCAGTTTGCCTTTGCCTTCATTTCCAGACCTTTCTCCTGCTCTCTCTGATGTGGGCTTGTCTTGTCTACCACATCACAGACAGTGACTCCAGGACTGTGTTCTCAAACCTTGCATTAGTTTCCTAGTGCTATTGTAACAAATAACAACAAAAATAGCAACTTAAAACAAAAAAGCAAGGCACATTTATTATCCCGTGCTAAGTGGGTGAACAGGGCTGCATTCCCATAGGACAGTCCATTTTCTGCTGTTTGTAGCTCCCAGCATCTGCCCGCATCCCTCTGCCCCCTCCATCCTCAAAGCTGACAGTCACCTCCCTCCCCGATTCTGCCTTCCTCATGTCATCTCCTGTCTTCACACCCGTCTCTCTCATCTTAGTAGTTCTTCTCCCCTTTGAGGCAATATTGGGCCCATCCAGGGTAGCCATCCCATATCATCAACATCCTTCATTTGAATCCCCCCTGAAAAGCCTCTTTCTGCGCAGGAACACCACTCACAGGCTCTGAGACACAGGGGTTCTCGTGTGTCTTTGGAGGCATTATCATTCTGCTCACGTAACCTTCTACAGCCAGCCCTATTTCTGCTGTTTCTCCTAAAAAAAGTTGGTGCTAGCCGCACCCAAGCATGTCCTGTATAGATCCCTGGCTAAATGCCCATCATCTGCCCATGTATTAAAAACAAAGCAGGGCATTCCAGTCCCTCAGTGCCAGCTGCCTGGTGTCTACTCTTTCTTTCCCCTTGGAACTCCTCTTCCGTTTAACAAGACATATCTACTTACACAATTAAAATTATATCTGAACACAATTAAAGCTTAGTTATCCCATATCTCCAGCTGGACTCCATGTTGTCTGAAAGCTCTTGGTCCCCCCACATACTACAATTTCAGGTGTGTATTGCCTATACCTCCCTCACCACAACTCCATGTGTTAGCGTTTGGATTTTTCCACAGGGCTAATTACCTGGTATATGGGATATTGGAGAGCATCGTCTGTGTTCTGGTGTGAATGTCCATGTTATTGGAAACCTGACCCCAGGTCCCTCTAATCCCGGTTCCTTTGTGGCTTCTACTGTGCTAGGGTGAGGTAGAGGATGACAAAAAAAAAAAAAAAACAAGACTTCATCCTGTTCTTTGTAACAAGGTGTCCCCTGGGGCTCAGGTATAGACTCTTGTGACAGGTCACCCTTTAGGTATGTGAAGGGCCCAACCCCATGCCCCAGTCACCCCTACCACTGCCAAGTAATTCATCACTTTCCATGGCCGTGCCCGCAAAGAGCTGTGCTGCCCTAGGCCCCAGACCTCATGCCTGACAAGAAACTCTTCCCACACTGCAATCCTATTTCGTTCCTCATCTCTTTCCAGCTGGTTTCTGTCAGTTCCAGCCCACCCTTCTATTCACAATGTTTTCGGTGAAGTATGGGGCTGGTTCATTTTCAGATTAACTAGCCTCATCTTTTGTTATTGCCTCCTTTGGGTTTGAGTCAAATGTGTTCTCTTCTATTCAATTTAATGAAGTACACATTTCAGATGGACCAGAAAACTGCTGTATGGGATCAAACTGCGTGACCAGCACGCTTGCACCATCCCTGGAGGAACCCTGAGAAAACTGGGGTGATAGTATGCAGGAAGGGTTATCTCCCCTTGCCCCATGTGTCTGCTTCTTTAGATGCTTTTGTTTCCATTTCTTTTCACTCCTGGCCTTCACAAAAGTGTCTCTGATCCTCTCTGTGGAAAACAGTAGGTTTTTCTACCCGTGTCGTATGTGAGTGAGTCTTTTCTGTCTGTAACAAGTTCTCAGTGAGTTCTAACAATGTGGAAAGGGAATGGCCACACACTGAAAAGGTGTGTGTGTGTGTGTGTGTGTGTGTGTGTGTGTGTGTGTGTGCGCGCGCACTTATCTACACACATCAGAAAGGTCCTCTGCCCGGATGCTGCGTAGCAGGACAGTTAATCATCAGATGAGGGAGACAAGGAGTATTTATCTTGCAAGCAGCCGAGTCCTGCTAGAAACACATTGTCTTGGGTTTGTCTCTCATCTAAATTCTAGCTCACCTCCAAGTGTGTCATGGATCTAGTCTCTGTGTTGATCAGCTCCCTCCATGCCCTCCTGTGAACAAAAAGAGAAAATGTCTTCAGTGCTGTGTCATCAAGATGCAAAGACAAAACCGGAGTGGAGACAGATGGTGGAACCTTTGTGGGGGTCGAAGTCAGGTTGTAAGGCTTGCACAGCCATCTTGCCTCCCCTTGTACCCCTTGGAAACACTCCTGTGGGGTGGCTTCTTGCGTACCCACTCCCTGCCCCCCAGACTTAACCCCCTCAGTATTCCACTGCAGCACAATAAATCACTTCCGATGCAAACCTTCCAGTCACAGTTGTTACACAGAGCCTCCGTGGGCCAGTCAGGCTTACTGGCTGTGGTCAAGGACAGCCATGGTGTGATCTTGTCCTAGGCTTAAGTCCAAGTCTCTGCTCACATAGGCAGACTTCTGCATGAATCTCAGGAGTGATGTCTTGTCTTGCTGACTGTCGGTCAGGGGTAGCTCTTAGCTGCTAGAGGCCATCTCAAGCCCTAACCACTTCCTCAAAGCCATGTCTGCTAAGACCGAGGTGTACATAAGGTAACCATGGAAGTGACTATCCCACTGGCGTCACAGGTTTTCCCAGACCCACATGGAAGGAGTTATATAGGTCGTCAACACCATCTGGGCAGTCTGTGTGTTCTGCCCACCATAGCCCTTTTATTGTGTTAGGACATGACTCTCAGTGTAATTTGATTTAGTTCTGTGTCTATAAATGCTGTTTACACAGTATTCAGAGTCCTGGGTTTACAGAGTTCTGTATACTTGCTCACACATTAGCTCACATGGACACCCAGAGGCATCTCTAGCTTAAACTCTCCAGCCTCAACAGTTGATTCTTATGTCAGGAGTGCCTAAGGTTGTACATTGTAGAACCTTGACTGGCAAGTAAGATGTTTATTGTTGTTATTCTCAGGAAAACTAAAGGCAGGCAGCCCAAGAGATGGAGCAAGCATCAGTGTCCGTTGTCCTAAGGTTGTGACTTTCCTTGCTTATTACAAAGTAGCTGCAGCCACCCCAGGCCTTGCCTCACACTTCCGGAGGCACAAATCCTGCTGTCTTTCTGGGGAAACAGAAGCTCTAGCCAGTGGCCTTTTGCTACACTTCACTCCTGTCCTTCATTAAAGTGTCTCTGATCCTCCCTGTAGAGAACAGTAGGTTTTTCTTTCCGTGTCGCATGTGAGTGACTCTTTTCTGTCTGCAGCAAGTTCCCAGTGAGTTCTAACAATGTGGAAAGGGAATGGCCACATACTCTGAATGACATTTTCTCCTGTTCACAGGGGATTAAATATAGGTGATGGTGGTTATAAATGCAAAGCAGAGGTGACAGTAGCAGATGGGATTTTGTTGTTCTGTCATGGAAGTGATCAGGCTCCTGTTACTTTACCATTCCCAACACCACACAGCTTGCGCCTCATGGTGGAAGGTGTCTGGTCTGGTTCCATCAATTGCATAGGCCATTTCTGTAAAGAGTGGAAGAATGGAAGGAAGGAAGGAAAGGTTGCCTCCCTTTATGACATCTAAGAGCCCTTCTTCAGATTGCATTGATGCCTTCTCTGCTTACCTCCCTGTGACCAGGAGTCAGTCACATTGTCACACACAGCTGGGGATGGAGTAGAGAGAGTGTGTTCTTCATTCACCAAAAACCAGGAGTTGAATCCTGTAGCCCCCAGGAATGTTAGATTTGGGGAATAACTAGTAGATTGGGCATTGCGATGGCCATTCTTGGTTGTCTACTTGACTACATCTGTAATGAACTAAAACCCACGTGACTGAGTGCACCTATGAGGGCTTTTCTTAGCTAAAGGGAAGACCCACCTTTCATCTGGGCCACATGACATCCTCTGTAAGGACATGGAAGAAGCTCTTGCTCTGCCTGTCTGCCCTCACTCTTGCTGGCAAGTTCACTTCTTCACTGGCACTAGAGCGCTTCTTGGAGATAGATGTTATTTTGTAGCTCTAACTTAACTTTGAACAGCCTTTTAAAAAATACATTTTTATTTTATTTTATGTGTTTGGGTGTTTTGCTTGCATGAATGTCTAGGTACCACTTGTGTGCCTGGTGCTTGAAGACCCCTGGAATTGGGGTTGCAGATGGTTGTAGTGTCACTCCCTAAAAGGACTGCCTAGATGTCCTAACTCAAAATTACCCTTCAGCTTGTGTGAGGAGAGCTTATGGCTACTCCTCTGGATTTTTGGAAGGACTATCCTTTGTCTATATTTTAAATTTAACTTCATTTCAGAAATCTCAAGACCCTTTCCGGAGTGTTGTGCTCTAATTCATGTGACATTTTCTAGGGACAGTGGTCAGAAATGACCATCCTTTGTTCTCTTTTCTTATGTGAAAAATATATGTGGAAGGACTTTTCCTTTTGTTAGAAAACTAGATTATAAGCTTGTGCTAATGTTGCTATGAAATAAATTGATTTTTGAAACTATCTTACTTTGCTTTCCTTTTAGCTCAAGTATTAGACTCTTAATTTTTCAGAAAAAAAACCCTAATTTTAAATTTGAAATAACCATCATAACATCTATCAAACATAAAGCCCATTTGTCCTGAAGCCTCAACAATCAGGACACCTAAGTAAGAAATTTTTGAAAAACTTTTTGGCATATTTTAGCCACAGTTTATTTTGCTTACTTGGCTTTTCTGTCTTCCAAATAATTTTATTATAATTAACAGACGTCTCTTTTCCCTTCTGTCTCGGAAGCTTAAGAAATGCATAAAGACTCCAGAAATCCCTTCTAAACACGTCAGGAACTGGGTTCCCAAAGTCCTGGAGCAACGGCGGCAAGGCCTGGAAACATACTTACAGGTAAGAGGTGTTTAGCTCCTCTGTGTAAGTAACAGTGCCTTAACTATTGTCTTACCCTGTTGGCTTAGAATATAAGAGTGTGACACCAAATACTGATCAGCAGCTGGAGATCCCAAGAGACAGGCTATTTGCAGTTACAAATATGGCTATCTGTTGGTTCATTTAGCGTTTATTGGATTCTGTTTAAAGTTGCTTATGTGTTGGGTAAGTGCAGATTTAGTGTCATTGGAAGGATGCTATTGAAATGATCTGTCTATTTTTAAAGTCAGCCATACAGATTACTGTGTTTTCGATGAAATAATTGTTTTCTCAACCTTTGGGTTTTAGATGTTCAGGCGCTAGTTAGAGTCCTGGGAGAAAGGAAGTCTTAAGTGGGGCAGGCTAAGATATGTGTAAAACCCCACGAAGGCTGTATAGAAATTGCCCCAATGGTCAGGCAGGCACTGCACTTAGTCCCATTTGAGAAGTGATGTGTGGAGGGGGAGGATAGCTGGGTGAGGAAAGGAACCCTGCCTCAAGAAAGAAGGATACAAATATGTTGTGCATTCCTATAACCCCGGCGCTTTGGGATGAAGATGTGTGGAGGTCTACCTATAACCCCAGCGCTTTGGAGGCTTGGACAAGAGCACCAGAGATTCAAAGCCAACCTGGCCTGCACAGAGGGAGACCCTATCTCAAAAAACAAGACAGAAGAGCCAGAAAGAGTTAAGAAGGTTTCTCCTTCTAAGATTATTACACTAGAGAAAGTGGCAGCATAGCCATGTTCTTCCATCATTGTCCTTGTGGACCCTTCAGGCTTTAGTAACTGCAGGATGGATGTAGTGTAGGAGAGAAGCTGGGAGCTGTGGAGCTTGTGAGCCTGTCTCCATATGGAGCTCTGTGAAGGACTGGGTGTGAGTCACTGGTGGCTGATGCCCAGTGATAAAGTGGAGGACACCTTCTTGGTGGAAAGAAAGATGCCAGGTGCCGGTCCCCAACCTTCTCTCATGTCCTAGTCTTTCCAGAAAGACAGACAGTGCAGAAGAGGCGGGAGCTCTGGAGAGGATGCTGGGGGAGGTTTTGCTATTGGAGCTTGGTAGAAGGGTTCTTCACAGTGTCTCTGGGAGTGAAAGCCTAAAGGAAACTGGAATCACAAATCCCAGGAATGTGTGTGGCCTTCTCTGAGATTCTAACGGTACAGCTATCAGGATTCCATAGCTTCAGGCAACAGTTAAGAGCAAGCAGCAAACCAAAAGCCAAGAGAAAGCGACCTAAGAAATTGTATGCAGAGGGCAGAAGGCATGGTCTCTGTAATTAGGTGGGATAGGTAAACAACACACTTTCATTTGTAGGCCAGATTTTCCACAGATATTGTATGTCTTCAGACTTCAGTTCTGAAGAAAGCTTCATTCCTCCCCCCCCCATCGCATTTGACACATGACTTCCATTACTCCTTAGTGTAAACATTTTAAGTTGTTTGTTCTTCATATGTAAATATGTGGATAAAATCATCTGGCACAGAGGGGAGCTTACAAGGATGCTCAAATTGAGCTTAGAATTTTCTATTCTCAGAAACAGGCTTGAATGATGTGGTTGAGGACTAAGAGTCCTTGCTTTCTGCTGTGTGGTTCAAATTCATGCTCAGTGACTTGAAGACCCAGAGGACATCAGCGGGAGCTCTTTCTTTTCCCTTTGGCAGTGGGGGCTAGCTGGAGGTTGCTGTGAGGTGCATGTGAAGAGTAGAACTTTGAATTGTAGACCATTCTTGCTTTTTATGTCTCAATGAGATAGGCAGCATTGTTGTTTCTTCCACGGCCTACCTGACTCCAGGGAGAGTCCCGTTCACCCTCTGGACCAGGCTGAACCCCAGGGAGTAGCTGCCACCATCTCATCAGACAACATCTTTCAAGTCAGCTCAACCCGTGCTGCTCAGTATGACACTGACCTGACCCGTGGCCTGACCAAATACTACTGCATCCAAGCTGTGCTCCCAAGGCCACAGGGCCCTATGTGACCCACTCTAGATCATTTGCTGCCTGTCAGAGTTCATAGTCACCCTTGTGGCGGTCTGCCTCATGACAAAGTCGGGGCAAATGACCCTTCTTTTCTGGAGGACAACTGGTCACCTGTGACTGCAGCCCCAACACGTTACCTGTGGTGGCCCGCATTGCCGTTTTCATTAGACTTGGGGAGACTGAGATCACAGAGCCTCTAAGACCTATGTTACCTCTGAGCTACATTTGTTAAAGGGCTCAGAGTTGACTTTCATTTTCCTATTGCCCCGTATGGGCTCTTCTCATTGTGCACTGGTGATTTTCTAAATTAGGAAAAAATGTTCACCCTTGGTAGTTTTATAGAGATATGTAATAGTAGGTACAAGAAAAGACTTAATAGTGATCAATGTTAGTTTATCAGACTGATTCTTCCCTGATTGAATAGTTGATTGGTGAGTAAATGTTTTTTTTAAGTGTGTGTGTGTGTGTGTGTGTGTGCGCGCGCGCGTGCGCACATGCGTGCATCCACTTGTCTGTGTGTGTACACATGTGTGCAGGAATCCACAGAGACCAGACGATAGCACTGGTTCCTGGAACTGGATCTGCAGGTGGTTATGAGTCGTCATATGGCTGCTGAATACCAATCCCTTGTCCTCTGCGAGATCAGCAAGTGCTCTTAACCACCGAGGCATCTCAATAACACCGTGATTTTAAATTTTTTAAAACTTGAATATTCAGAATTCTAGCAAATAATGCTCCCGTTTTCTGTGTTAAGTCATCTGGCTTCAAGGGGAGTTGTTTGCTGGCTGTTGGTTGTTTGAAACAGGCTGGCTGGTGCATGCTAACGTTGGACTCCTAGATGCAAACCAACCTGAGAGCAACACATGGGACGTCCTGGGAGCTACATTTAAGTAGGAGAGCAACTTTAAAGAAGAAAGATAAAGTCACCTACTTTCAAAATTAATTTTTTTCCTGAGAATTAATCAAAAGGAGCAAGACCTTCCTTAATGTCTGTATTTTTCACATTCTTTTCCATTCTTTGGTCACTAAAAGTTTGAAAATTAGAGTCAAAGAAAACCCACACTTCCTTTTGTTCAGAAGTGAATGGTGTATTAATGTATAATCCTTAATTTAGAAATAGCGTCAGCATCGACTTAAATAGTATAGGTTATTTAAAAATACAGAGACAAGCCCGGCAGTGGTGGCGCACGCCTTTAATCCCAGCACTCGGGAGGCAGAGGCAGGTGGATCTCTGTGAGTTCAAGGCCGGCCTGGTCTGCAGAGCGAGTTCCAGGACAGGCTCCAAAGCTACACAGAGAAACCCTGCCTCAAAAAAAAAAAAACAAAAAAAACAAAACAAAAAACAAAAAAAGTAAAATGCAGAGACATAGGATAGTTACCACTCCTCTGGCACATTTGTAACGGTAGGTTTCTGTAAAACAATTTACAGTGCATTTGAAAGCTGCCTCGTGATTGGGCATGACAGTCTGTGTCTGTTGTCCCACCTGCTCAGGAGATTGAGACAGGAGCCACTTCAACCTAGGAGTTCTAGATCAATGTAGGGAACAGAGCACGGACCAGGAGAGAAGGGGAGAGAAGAGGGGCAAAACGAGGGAGGAAGAGGAAGGGAGCTGCTCTGTTTTCAGTTAAGGATGTCTCATCTTCGCGGGGCGGGGGGGGGGGATGGAGTAAGCATATCAAATAAAAGTAGCGTGAAAGGCTGGCATGGTGGCGGTAACTGCGGCACTCTGGCTAGGGTTTGGGTGGACCTTTTAGTTTTTGGCTGCTGACCCTTCAGCTTTATGTAAGCCAAGGATTCATTCTTCAGGTCCTGGTGTCCTAGCAGTTCCCCTCTTCCCTGACACCTTCCAAATCTTATGCTTGTCTAATAGACACTTCCTGTTTGCAGTTGAATTAAGTGGGACGAGTAAGGAAAGATATAATCCCCGTCTTCTTGGAAGTGGAAGTCTATTTGTTGATTTTTAAACATAATAATAATAATAATAATAATTTATCTTAGTGCATAGGTGCTTTGCCTGCGTGTATCACGTTTGTGCCTGTTGCCTTCGGAGGCCAGAAGAGGGCATCAGATCCCCTGAGACTGGAGTTACAGATGGTTGTGAGTCGCATGTGGGTGCTGGGAATTGAACTTGGGTCCTCTGGAAGAGCAGCCCGTGCTCTTAACTGCTGAGCCATCTCTCTTATTTTTGTGTATGTGTGTGGATGAGGGCACATGCTTGCCACAGTACACATGTAGAAGTGGAAGGATGACCTTGGCATTGGTCCTTTCCTCCAATTCTGCTTGAGGCAGACCTCTTTTGACCGCACAGTGAAGACTTCAGGATGGCAGCTTGCCAGAACTTCCCTGGGACTCCGCTGCCTCTGCCTTCATACTGTAGAGGTGCTGGGATTACAGAAATGCATCACTATGCTCAGCTTCTACAGGAGATCCAAGCCAGGCATCATGTTTGCACAGCAGCTGTCTTTACCCACTGAGCCACCTTCCCATTTGTGATGGTTTGAAAGAAAACAGTCCCCAAAGGGAGTAGCCCTGTTATAAAATGTGGCCTTGTTGGAGGCAGTGTGTCACTGTAAGTATTAAGATCAGTCTTCCCGCCAGCCTTGTCCCAGAGCCGCATCAGCCCCAAATGAACATACAAGACTTATATTAATTATGAAACTGTTGGCCGTTGGCCTGGGCTTCTTACTGGTTAGCTCTGTCTTAATTATTAAACCATTTCTGTTGATGTAAGTATTTCCATGTGGTCTTATGTTACTGGAGAAAGGGTTGGGGACCTGTCACTCCCCTGGCATTCTACATGTCTACTGACTCTGCCTACAGTTTCCCAGATTCCTCCTCATCTTCTAGTCCCTCCTATCTTGCTGCCCTATTGGCCAACAGTGTTTTATTCATCAACCAATAAGATAAACATATACAGAAGACCTCCCCATCAGTGAAGGCAGGCTTTGAAGTTTCATGTATGTGTAAACCATCCCTAGTGAGATAGTTGACTCTTTGGATCAAGA